CAATGATTCTGACCACCATGGACAGTGATGACCTACCGCACCCTGCGAATGCAGACATAGTCAAAAGATACTATGCATAAAATAACCTGACAAGTTGAAAACCCGAAAGGGTGACCTGGGAAAAAATGGGCATCCTGGTGAATCAAAAACTCGAAAGGGCGGTTCAGGCAAAAATTAGGGATAAATAAAAAAATCTGTACACCCGGCAAGTTGAAAACCCGAAAGGGAGACTTGGGCAAAAAAGGGTTTCCCGGTGGATCGAAAACCCGAAAGGGCGGTCCAGGAAAAAGTTAGGTAATGAAAGTGTATGACTATGTCTCGTCGGATCACTTTAAAGACAATCTCTTCACGGACAAGCTCCAGGCTTCTGATCAACCCAATCATCTGCGAACGAAGCGACGAATGGACAAGATACTCAGAGTTACGAAGGCTATAAGCAGAATGGGAATCCCATGGAATTGTTACACATAGCCATCCTTCTTTGTATAAAATTTTCTCATTTTTTACGACAACATTATCTTATTAGGATGATTGTCTCCTTGGTACAAAAATACTTAAAAAGTTAATACAAAGATACTTCAAAGTGCAGAAATTTGCTTACCTTTTCTTTCTTTTTACACTTATGTTTTATTTGAAAACGTCCAATGATTTGTTAAATGAGCACATGCATTTGAATATAATCACTGCTTACAAATAAAACGAAATAAGAAAGGATAATTACTGATAGGTCGAAAGTATGGGAAAACGTCTTTAGGCTATTCCGGAAGAAATCCCCTACAGTATGTCATTCAGATCCTCAACAGAGCTAAAACCTTGAAATACACATCCCCAGTGGAGTTAAAGTTCAACATCCCCAGCGGAGTTAAAAACATATCGTCCTCGGGACTAAGGTTCTAAAACTCCCAATCCCCAGCGGAGCCAGAATACTTTAAACTTTCTTCCCCAACGGAGTCCAAAAATTCAAATCTTAAACCCCGGTGGAATACTATCCAGCTTCCTCCGATTCCCCAGTAGATTGGCATACAACCCAAGCTTTTGAAGAATTCTCCAACAGGATAAACATTCTCCCCACCGAGTTATTTCCCGACATAACGAAGATTCTTGTCCCCGTTTCTCCATTTGAAGCCTCCCAGGTTTTAATTCCCCAGTAGAGGTCGTCGGATTTGTCCTTATTTCCCCAGGAAAGTCATGAAGGATTCTCAATTCCCCACAAGTCACCAGGGATCTTCAATCCGCAGCGGTAGTCCAAAGGACATTCTCAGTCTCAACAATCAAAGGTTTTGAATCTCCAACAACAGTCAATGGTTTATTTTCCCCAGCAGCCGTCAAAGATTTCATTATCTCCAGCTATCAAGGATTTATTTCCCTCAAACAAGACAGTTACTCAGCTTACATGCGCATACATTACATTCATATATCATAAACATTGATATAACACATTTTATTGCGTCATACATGTCATACAACATAACTTTGTGTTTTAGCTAATATTTTATCCTTTTCAGGATAAGATTGAAAGCTACCTTTAACAAATGTTCAAAGATTTCAGATACAGTATGGATACACCCCAGACACGATGGTCATTCTATTACTCATTCAGAATTTTAAAGTCAAAATATAGTATGGATACACCCCAGACACGACAGTCATTCTATTACTCATTCAGACTTCAGCAATCAGATACAGACTAGATACGCTCCAGGCATGGAAGCCATTCTATTTCTCATTCAGATACAGTATGGATACACCCCAGACACGACGGTCATTCTATTACTCATTCAGAATTTCAAAGTTAAGATACAGTATGGATACACCCCAGACACGGCGGTTATTCTGCTACTCATTCAGACTTCAGCAATCAGATACAGACTGGATACGCTCCAGACACGGAAGCCATTCTATCTCTCATTCAGATTCAACTATCAACTTCAAACTAGATACGCTCCAAGACATGGAAGTAATTCTGCTACTCATTCCATTTCTCATTCAGATACAGTATGGATACACCCCAGACACGGCGGTCATTCTATTACTCATTCGGACTATCAACTTCAGATACAGTTCAGATACGCTCCAGACACGGTTGTCATTCTGTCACTCATTCAAACATATTCCCCAGCCCAGAGATGCTCCAGACACGGATGTATTTCTATCACTTATTCAGATTTCAGATTTTGGATACAATATAGGTACATTCCAGACACGGAAACCATTCTGATATTCGTTCGAGAATCAAATACAGTTACAGCTTGGATACACTCTAGACACAAACGCTATTCCTTTGCTCATACAGATCCAATCTCCAGATACAACTCAGATACGTTCCAGATACGGATATCATTCTGATGTTCATTCTACTGATATTCAACAAACACTTTAGATGGCATCTCTAAGCCCATCTCCAGAAATATTCTATCATCTCCAAATGACATCTTTAATCCCATTTCCTCAACCTGCATTTTGACGAGTGCAAATTTACGGGCACTCTAGTGTCCAATCCTCTTTTACTTTCGAGTCACGAAAGGCAGATTCTCCAATCTAACTCTTCAGGTCCAAGAAGATTGAACAGGGGAAACTGTTGTACCCCAAAATTTTCCCTCTCATCCTTCAGGAACTCATCCTGAACTCTCAGATTTTTTCTTAAATAAATCCAAGCCCTTTATTATCATTCCTTTCCAAGTAAACAATTCACAAAGAGCAAAATGGTCATTTGCAAGCTCAAAAGTCAAAACTTTTACCTTGGAAAAATTAAATTCTAAATACTTTAGAATTCTTCTAAAATAGGGAAAAGTGTTTAATGGCACCTCAGAGCTTCTGAACCAACCTCTAGGCAGAAACAGTCAGAAGTTACAAATTTGGCTCAACACATAACATTCAGTCAGAAGGTGGCTCTTCAGCAGCTACACCAACTCAGTCAGAGATTGTAAAAGTGGTTCAGCACGTGATCTTTAAACAGAACATGGCCCTTTCAACAGTTACGCAAAAGTTCAGCCAGAGTTTGTTAGAGAAGTGTAAAGAAGGCAACAAAGACTGAAACTCATTCATAACGTACTGAGATCAGAAGGTAATGGGATCAGCAGATTGGGTAAAATACTGAAGCAGGATCACTAAGTCCAGAGTCTTTAAAGGCAGATCAAATGAGCATACTGGAAAACTCTCAGAGTTTGCTGAGGCAGCAAGAGGCCAAGGTCAGAGCTTGGTTTACGTTGTTTTTGGTGAAGCAGAACTGCTGGCTCAGGTTTTAGGTAATGATGCAAAATCTCCTATTACAAGATTTTGGATTTTAATAAATCTCATCACCATTTAATGCCCATTAATGCTCACAACCACTCCTGAGCATTCATCCAAGGGTTCTCTCCACGTATGGCTTGTTAAACACCTTTGTGCAGGCTTAGGCATGGGTCTATGCGCCACTTTTCGCCTATAGGTGTCACTTCTCCTTAATCCTCGCTTACTGTTCCAACCTAGGCTGAAAAGCTGTCCATCATCACAACTTTTCATGAACTTCCTTCAAAAAATAAGTTAACCTCTACTGCATAATATTGGCACCATTTAACGTTCAAAAATCCATAAAGCCTTGCCTATAAATAGGACACCATTGTCCATCACAAAAAGGAGGTGAAGAAACATCCATAAAAAATTGCTAGAAGAGGAACAGAAAACTCTAGCAAGAAAACATTGTGAAAACTCTGCCAAAATTCCTAGTGTTTCCTAACTTTGAACTTCCTGCCTCCAAACTTGTTTGCTTCCTGACTAGAGAACGCCCATACAGTTTCTGACCATACATACACATATCTTCTCCATCCACCCATTCTAAAAAGAACCTGTCCAGAACACCATCAGAGCTAAAGTTAGCTCCAACTCACAAATTTTCCTCCAACATCAAGGTAAGCACCTGCTGACTCTCATCACGCTGCTAAGCATCATCAGCTTTGCATGCTCAATAAACACAATATAAATATCATGTTGCTGCTGTTTGCGTTCTGAGGATCCTCATACCTTTGAATGCTTAGTTAGTTATGTACTCTTTGGGCTTTTTAACATTCATGGGCCCAATCTGTTCCTCATGAGGCCTCTTTTCTGGTCGACTGCATCCACAAACCCAATTGACTATTTGTGAAATCTCTTCCGGTCGACTGTTTCTGTAGTCGACTTCCTATAATTCAAAATTCTCAAAAAATCTTTTTACCTTTTTATTGGATTTTAATCCTTTGTGAAAATCCTAACCAATAATATGTCACTTTATTTAAAACATTTAATATCTTATGAGCTAAAAAATATGATAGAGATATCAAAACCGAGTGATTTTTAAATAAGTGGACAAATTTCATGAATGATTGAAAATAGAAAGATCCAATTTGTAATTAAGCCTTTTCCTTTTTACATGGACAAGTGAATAATATCATATCTATTTTAATTCACTCTTCTTCCAACTATATCTTACGATACTTTTTCATTCAACTTATTTACATTATGCACTGAGTAAGCTATCTTTCAATTATTAAAAGAAAAATCTTTATATGGATGAAAAGTAATTAGGTGGATTGACAACATTGCAAAAAAAACACGACAACCAAATTTTGAGTAAATTAACTATGTATTGAAAGAAACATGAAATCTTCCAAACACATCATTAGTTTAAGCAACATATTTAAGATTGAGTGGACTATTTGCAAGAAGAAAAAAAAGTAGAAGCAATGATAAGATGAAGCTACAAATACTATAAAAAAATCAACTGTGTCATGCTTGTGAGGAAGCAAGTAGAAATAATTTGAAATTTCTTTGATTTATAGTTAAAGAGTAAGATCAATTGTTCAACAAATTACCAATTGGTAAGAACAAAACAAATGAAAGAATCAACTGTCTCATGAAACTCCACCTCCCCTAACTTCACCTTTCTAACATTACATAAATACTCTTCCAAGAAAAAAGAAATCAGAAATCATTGAAAGGTGATATTGCATTGTCAAACTAGTACACCATACCGACACCAAACCACTCTAAAAGCATTTCCTGTGTACAATCGAAGGACCGGATTCGTCATACTCGGCCTTTGCAATCCACATCTGCATTAGTATAGTATCCCAAATATATTAAACATGTCATGAAAACATTATGCAGATACGAACATATCGGTTAGAATTACTAGAGAGTGTTTACCTGTTGAAAAGTACTAAGAGAAGCTAAGATAGAGCCACCAATCCAGACACTGTATTTTCTCTCGGGCGGAGCCACCACCTTGATCTTCATGCTGCTTGGAGCCAAAGCGGAAATTTCCTTGCTCATTCTGTCAGCAATACCAGGAAACATGGTAGAACCACCACTGAGTACTATGTTTCCATACAAATCCTTTCTGATATCAACATCACACTTCATGATTGAGTTGTACGTGGTTTCGTGAATGCCAACGGCTTCCATTCCAATCATGGATGGCTGGAAAAGAACCTCAGGACAACGAAAACGCTCAGCGCCAATGGTGATGATCTGTCCATCAGGAAGCTCATAGCTCTTCTCAACAGAAGAACTTGTTCTCGAAGTTTCAAGCTCTTGCTGATAATCAAGTGCAATGTAAGCCAGTTTTTCCTTCACATCTCTAACAATTTCACGCTCGGCTGTAGTAGTGAACGAATAGCCACGCTCGGTTAGGATTTTCATCAAGGCATCGGTGAGGTCACGACCTGCTAAATCGAGACGAAGGATAGCATGTGGAAGGGCGTACCCTTCATAAATAGGTACAGTGTGGCTCACACCATCTCCAGAGTCCAGAACAATACCTGCACAAATTCATTGCATAGCATAAAAATCTTTGAATGTACACTAGACTAGATGCAGACACATAAGTTTTCTTAAACCGAAAAAAAGGACTAACCGGTTGTTCGACCACTGGCATAAAGCGATAGAACGGCCTGGATGGCAACATACATTGCAGGAGTATTGAATGTCTCAAACATAATTTGTGTCATTTTCTCGCGATTAGCCTTAGGGTTAAGAGGTGCCTCGGTGAGCAAAACCGGGTGCTCCTCAGGGGCAACACGGAGTTCATTGTAGAAGGTGTGATGCCAAATCTTCTCCATATCATCCCAGTTACTCACAATACCATGTTCAATTGGATATTTTAGAGTCAATATACCACGTTTGGACTGAGCTTCATCTCCAACATATGCATCTTTTTGTCCCATGCCAACCATCACACCCGTGTGGCGTGGTCGGCCAACAATGCTAGGAAACACAGCCCTTGGAGCATCATCTCCAGCAAATCCAGCCTAAAAGATATCGTGCAAACATAAATGGTGCTATCAATAGTATATCCAGGAACCATCGCGATTTTTTCAAATTCTACTATGCTATAACATTATAGTACATTACCTTAACCATTCCTGTCCCGTTATCACAGACGAGTGGTTGAATATCCTCATCGGCCATTGTCTTTCAAAAACTGCACAAACCATACACTTCCCCTCAGAACAAAGCCACAACAATTTAAATTATCTAAAACTCTTCAAAAGAAACAAGAATCCATGCAGAGAAATTATCAACAAAGAAAGTAATGTAAAAACCTGAAATGTTGCGTCAAAAGAGAGAATGAATGATATTCTCCGATCTTAGGTGCAACCGTTGAAAGCACCAAAAGACAATAATAATGCAGGAGAAGAGGTCCAACTCGAACCTCAAATTTGAACGTGTGTTTTCAGTTTATAAATAAACGTGCTCCATGTTCACGACAATTTTTCAACAACGTCCAATTCTATGAACGACATTCACGTTGTTGATAACGCGTGTTTCGTACACCATGTTTTCTAAAATGTTACATTGCTTTTTATAGTTTGGCCCATTATTAGCAGCCGCTACTTCTTTTGACTTCTCTAATTTGGGCTCATTGGAACATGGTGTGTACATAGACCTTGGGAAAAAAAAAAGAATTTTTTTCCCTACCCTTACATCTTTTTAATTATCTCTGACAAAATTTCGTTTTTATTTACAGAATTCGGAGATGTATCTCCGAATGCATCAGAGTTTATTTTTTTTGGAATTATTTCAGAGATGTATTGTTGAAACACTTTTTCTTTTCAAAATCATGGGTGTTTCGGAGAAACATCTCCAAATTAGAGCATTACAACAACAAATAGGAACAATCTTCCCTTATTCTCATTTCTTCCAAAATCTAACTATCAAACACCCCAAAAACCTCCAAAATCTCTACTTTTAAAACTCATCCAAGTTGGTTTACTCATTTGCACTTGTTACAACTCACTCCAACTCTCAATTTCAACACATTTCAACCACTCTAAAAGCTTCAAATTTGAGTAAGTTCACCAATCTCCCTTTTAATCTTTGCATTTCTATTTTAAGTTGTTTAAAATATGTATAACTTGTAAAAAACTTGCTTTTATGTGTAAAAATTAGATTTTGGTGTAAAAATGGTGCTGTTAGGTTCAAGTTTTGGGTATGGAGTCAGGTTTTTTTAGAGATACATCTCCGAAAACCCCTCTGGGATGTTTCAGAGATGCATTTCCAAAAAAAGGCCCGAGTTTAATTTTTTTTTTATTTTCAAAGATGTTCTTGTTCGTTCGCTTACCTTTGATTTGATTAACAATTTTTTTCCAGAATAATGGCAGAGAACCCCAACAGATTGAGATTTGGTAGGCCTAGCCAAACTACATCCGCTCGACGAGAGATAGCTGAGCTGACTACGATTCTTCAAGGACGTGGTCGAGTACCGCAGGTGGAAGTGAAGGGAACATCGACTTCGGCTCTGAGGAGTCGACTTTCATGTGTGTCCCCGTCTATGGATTACGAGGAGGAGGAACCCGGGCAGGTTCATGTTCCAGAACCCGAAATGGTTGATGTTTCGGAACCCGAGTAGAAGGCTAACTCGGGTTTTGCAGGAGGTTCGTCTGACACCTCCCTCTTGATCTATTACACCGATCATGTCACTCGATATATTTCGGAGGGACATGTATATTAATTTTTGTTACACTTTTCATTTTAATGATTTACGCACTTATATGTTAAAATTGATATTAATTATTTATCTTTACAGGAACACGACCACTAAAGTGCGTGAACCACGCGCAAAAGATATTTGAATTGTATCACTCTGATGAGGATTGGTTTAGAGAGGCCATATGTGCCTTCGGGCTTACTGGCCTTTGTTGTTCCCATTATAGCACCATTAGCCATGACATGCAAGGGGAATTTGTGGAGAGGTGGCACAAGGAGACGTCATCTTTCCACTTGTCTGTTGGGGAGATGGCGATCACACTTGATAATGTCGCATGCCTGCTACACCTTCCTATCAAAGGGAGGTTACTTAACCACTCCTGGATCGATCATAGTGATGCGATTGAATGGATGTTCGACTATCTGGGAGCTGAACCATGAGAAGCATTTAAGCAGTGTTCCTCCATCAATGGGGCGCATGCCAAGTTCTCATTCCTTAAGGAGCTATATCACCAGCACCTCTATGCGTCAGCTGATTCTCAGTCAAAGAGAGATGACTTCTTTGTTCTTTATCACTGTTAATATGCTCGGAGATGTTACTTCATAATCCTGGTTGGCACGTCCATTTTTATGGACAAAAGCGCCAACTACATGGATGTAGCATACCTCTAGTACTTCATGGATTTTGGTATACATGTACAAAAAGATGAATGAAGCCTCTAACTGGAGGACACGACAGCGGACAAGCTCTGTTACACTGCTGAAGGTGATTATCATTCCAACTATTAAATTTAATTTACTATTAATAAAAATAATTTGTTCTTACATGAATATTATTCGTTTTTCAGGACTAGATCATTTCTCACTTTCACCCCATCCATGGTTTCGATTATGCTCTAGATTATAGTGAGAACATGAAGAGGACTGCTTGGTATGTCCCCCACAGAGGAAACCATATTGTGTTTCCGTTCCGGGTGTATCTGGATAGGACTATCCATGATGACATCCTATGGATGCCGTTCGAGGATCACCGGGAGATTATCCAGTTAGACTCTATCTCATTGTACTCTAGGTGGATGGCATGTGATACTAACATTATGGTCAGGTATCCATACCCAGATCTCCCTTTTATGCTTCTCTAGACACCATTATCCGTCGGGAGCTCGATGGCATATTTCAGGACTGGGAGCATTATTTGGTGTCAGAGGAGTGTCAGATGATGCAAGCAACCAGAAGTTGGCATTGTGTTGAGGGATATGTGACATGTTTACACAGTGTTACATCCTAGCATGACACCGGATGCTCCTGGACGTCCACCTAGTCCAGCTCATGAAAAGATCTTAGAAAACCAGCAGTACGAGGATGACCATGCCATTGATCTCTTGTTGATCTATCAGTGGATATAGATGATTGGACGAGAGGCTTTGGACATATGTATCATTAATCAGGGTGGTTCTGAGGCAATGGTAATTGTAGAGCAGATGGTTGGGGAGGCAGAGAGTGCAGCAAGATACAGTAGACAGAGGAGGGGTTAGGGAGTGAGGATCAGGCATACGCAGTAGGCTATGCCATTTTTCAGAACAATTTATGAATAATTATTGTATTATTATTATTTATTTTAAACAATTTATTGTATTATCGTTTTTCATTTGCGTTTTTATTGTATTATTGTATTATCGTTTTTTATGTCTTATCATTTTTCATTTGCATTTTTATTATCGTTTTCATCTAATTATTTATCAACAAAATGATGATTTTAAAAAATATATATCATTGTCCAGGGTTTCAGAGATGCATCTCCGAAAGAACCAAACCAGAGTGTTTCGGAGATACATCTCCGAAAATATCACTGCATGTTTAAATATAATTTCTAAGTCCAAACAGATTGTTTTCGGAAATGCATCTCTGAAACACCTTGATTTGGGGTGCATTCAGAGATACATTTGTGAAGGGTATTTTTGGGTTTTCAGGGGTTTTTCCCCATCCATAAGAGGTGTACAAAGAAAATACCAATAAAGAAAGGGAAATGTTATTCCCACTCTTACATAATAAGCATACCACATCTTTGAAAATTCAAAATTGTATTTCAAATGTCCGGAAATTATCCTTATGGAATATTGTTATTCACGCAACTGATTTAAATAACAACTTGATGATCTATCTCAAAAAAATTATTTCCACTTCAGAGTAAGCTACCTCATTATCCATTCTAATGCATCATGTGTATTATTTGGTTATAAAAAATAACATTTTGTTCATATTTATTTAAAATCGGGATGTCCTATACCAAAGAAATCACCAGAGTAGATAACACATTTCATGCAAGATGATGAAACATGGTCGGATCCCTTTCTTCAAAGGATGGAGAAGTTCACCAAGTTGAGTGACATTGAACGAGAAGCAAATAAGGAAAGGTCAAAGATCGAGCCACCAATAGATTTAGGTATTGACTTAAGTTTTAATGCATTTTAGTTATAATCTAACAATGTAACAATTTTATTGTAAGTAACGCACTACATGATGTTATAAAATTGGGTGGTATTTTTTGGATATTTTTTATTTATAAAATTCTGCTATGCATAATTAGCATGGTTCTGTTCTACATAATTTTTGGGTGGATCCAGAGAAGCATCTCTGAATACAATAAAGGGAAGATACAGTTCACAATGCTTGAACTGGAGACAGATGATGATTTGAGTGTGATGTGGAGTACCTTTTACAGTTACTCAACAAAGGGTTTGACTGAAGTCGATACAACGATTCAAAGATCACCCGAAGATATTATAAGATTAATACAACATCCCGAACCACCTATTTTTAATAGCACGTAATGTTAAACTTATATAATGTTTATCTATGTAATGTTTATTTTGGATTTGATTTATATTGGTTCAACTCCTTTATGCCATTTTTATTTTTGCTTGTTTTTGCTTTGATCTAACAGAGCATATTCAAGAGATGTTTCTCCGAATATATCATTAATCAATGAACTAATGGGCATTACATAGATACATCTCCAAATCAACCTTTCACACATACAGAGATGCATTTTCGGATCATTTTTATAGAATAAGAGTTTCTCACCAGTTTTGCCTTAGTTGTGTGTGGAAAAGGTGCGTCTGGAGATGTATCTCTGGAAGCTAAGGAAATTTTAGTCTTTTCACGATGGTGTGGGAGAACCCCTAAGGGTGGAAAGAGAAATTCCCTAAAAAATGAAAGCCATTTTTCCTTAATAAAATTGTAAACATCACATTTTTATTTATAAAGGAATGAGGGCTAAGTTTCAATTACTAGAATAGAAGTTGAGCTCAAATATTTAATGAACTCCACCAAAATACAAATCATTTAAAGAATGCAAAATTTGAATTTTGATTAAAACAAATTTGATTTAGAGTGTATTTGTTTCAAGGTTACTAGAATTAGGGGTGTTTGCGGTGCGGTTTGGACGGTTTTGGAGCAAAAAATCATCCAAACCGCAAGAG